CACACACACACACACACACACGCACACACACACACACACACACACACACACACCGGGGTCGTCACAATATGGGTTTTTGCATTTGTATATAAGCAAAAACGCATAAAAATGGAAAATAAGCACTTCACTACCACTTTGTCGATTTACCAATGAGCGTGGAAAACTTCGGTACCGCCAAGACGCAACCTTACGCACGATGTAGCCATACCAGGCTTTCCTCCTATGAGTTACTTTTACGGTGGAAGAGGGAAAATTTACAGCGAACAAAATATGAATACAAAATGATTTAAAAGGGTCTAAAATTAGAAAATCAGCACAACATAATATGAAACAATCTACTAAAGTATAAAAATCATGCATTTTTGCACTAACACATAGAAAACAGTAAAAATAATAGGCCTGATCTACATTATTTTGATGTTCACAGTGACTACTGAAGCGTCAAATAAACTGAAGTTCAAGCAGCGGATTCCTGCAGTCATTCCAACTCAAATTCTAGAAACTGGATCATCTTAGATGGCCAGTTGTGCTGGCAATAACCTCCATGTCATCTGTCTCATTGCTTGATGAAGTTGGTAGTTCATCAACAGTAGCAGTAGGAGTGGCGGCACCGCGCTCTTTTTTCAACCTAAAATATCACTTTTTCCTGAAATTTTAGCTCTGAACCCGAAATTCTCTCTGAAGTTTGGAATGCTCTGAACTCGAGAGTTAGAGAACAGTCAAGAAAAAAAGCGTCAAAAAAGTCAGCTTTTCTCAAAAAAAAAAGTTGCGCCACGAAAAAAAGATTTTCGGAAATTTTGCAATACCATCGAAGTGAGAAAGGAAAATGAACACACCAAATAATGATGACGGGCATGATCATCACTGCTGCGAGAATGTAGAATGAAATTTGAGGCAGAAAATGGAGCGAAAGCGGGAAGAGCGAATGGAATGCAACAGATGAAAGCAAATTGCAAACTGCTTCCGTTACCGCGAACAGTGCAAACATTGATCCTATAAAAAGCCTAAATGGTGCCAGAACTACTGGGAGTGTTAATAGTGTGAAACCTCGACACTTCTAAGACAGACATTCATCAAAAAAGAAATTTTTTGCGCTGACTCCTGTGATGAAAGCCAAAAAATTTACCCTCATATTTTCTTTTCTGGATGAGCCAAAGGTGAAAAATCCCGGAATTTTAGACAATTCTATCAGTGTCACTGAGTTTCAGCTGCCGGCCAATAACTGATGATCCTGGGCCCTTTTACACATTCTTGGATGCCGCGATCCTGGCTTATGGAGGAAATACAGTGAAGTTTTAGAATTTAGCTCAAAAAAACTGAGGTATTGCAAAATAAAAATGGTGCAGATTTGTTCCTCAAAACAGCACTGTATGAAAAACGCATTTTGAAACCGCTTCCTTATTAGGCACCACTATTTCTTCTTTACTTTAACAAGTGAAATAGGTGCTAACCGTGATTCTCGGAAGGAACTGTATCTGCCATGATCGCACGAAGACCAGAAGCTGCGAAGCGTGAAAATGAATCGAAAAGTATGACTGAAAAAAGAAGGCAGGAAGTAATAGATTCTCCCTAACTCTATCCAGACGTTAAATTCATTAAGCAATCGTGCACATAATAGTACGTTAATTTACATATATATGTATAAGTTAAATTTACATATATATTTACATATATACGTTTCTATGAAGGACTCGAGGTCACACTGCGACAGAAGACAACATATACAATGGTCCTCGGAGA